CCTAACCGCAGCCTTCCCTTTTCCCAGGCCATGGTATAGCTGGTTGCTATGTTGATTAAATAGTGAGCTACTTGTTAATGTAAAATAGGAACAAATAAATAAATGGGTTAGCAGGCTGATGCAATGAAACAAGTACATGCGTGGCGCTTGTGTGCTGTTCCAGAACAGATGAGAACCAGACAAGTGAAGTTGTCCCAGAACAAAAACGTCTCGTGGAACCAGAAATAACCACCTCCCGCTGCTTCCTGACCCCTCGCTGTGTGCTGGAACCTGAAAACCCTGCCTTTGCTGCAGGAGCTGCTTGGAAACCCTCGGTTACCTTTACTGGAGGAGGTGCCTCCCAAAGCTGATGCGTTAATTCTCCTTTCCTGTCTGTTGAGTGGTAGCATTTGCTTTGCAAACAGGAGATGCACATTGTGGGCCTGTATGGTGGTGTGTTTTCTCCCACACTCTGCTCCCACTCACCCCTTGCTGGAGTAAGTAGCTCTGTAGTAATTCTGCTGTCCATAAATACGCAGTGTGTGGTCCTGACTCGCATCTGACCAGTCCATAGGGGGTGGTGGTGCAGGGGCTGGGAGAGGGAAATGCCTGGAGGCTTGGGTTGAAGGTGGAAATGGTCACCCATGAAACATCAACACACAACAAAATGCAGCTGAAAACCTCTGCTGCCTTTTTTTATTTCTGGTGACTTGTGTTACGTGCCCGTTGTGGCTCAGGGGAAGGTGACTTAAGGTATGTTTGCTCTTCAAATCCAGTTATGAAGCAAATACAATTTAAAAATCTCTAAAGAGGTTGGCTATACTGCACTACTGTGACTCTTTCTATTAGGACAGTGAAGGCTAAAGTAGGAACAACGTCTTCTGGATTTAATATTGCTTGGGTGTGGGTGTGTTGCATTATATCCAGGAAATGCTGGCATGGTTAGCTGTCTTGTCACTTGTTCTGGTGTTGCCTGGTGCTCTGTGTCTTGTCCAGAACTGGACATCTGGATGGTATGGATGTATATGGATTCACACTGATTTTTTTTCCCCAAAAACAGCTTTTATTATGTGAATATGTTGGCTTGAATTTTTAGGGTCTGTAAAATGTCTTTTTCTGAGCTAAAAGGCAGGTTGGGAAAGGAAACCTCGTGCTTGTGTGGAAATGCAGAGGAAAGCTGTGGGGTGTGTAACACACAAAGGTTATTTGCTGCTCCTCAGTTGTATTGTTTGGTGGCAAGATCACATCTGTGCTTTGGAGGCGAGGAAGTGCAGGTGGCAATGTGCCACTTTCTGTGACTAAGGACGGGTTTAGGTGTTGCAGCAGTCATCGATACGCCCTGGAGCAGCCCTATGAAAGCTGCTGTTCTTGAGCTCTCACTGCACCAAGTGAGCTGTAGCATCCTCTGCTCTGGCTGCAACTTCTGCTTGTGAGGCTCCTCTGAAGCAGAAAGAAGCCCCGACAGGGACCAGACCATGACCTGAAGGGATCTTTAAGCAGCTCAGCTCAGCACAACGGGGTGCAAGCTCTGCGCGGCATCCTCGAGTAGGTTCCAAGCAGTATCTTTCTCCCTAGCTCTCGGCTTTCCTTCCCAAATGCTGCAGGCTTCATTCTGCACAGCTTCAGTCTCGGCATCGCTGTGAACATCTCGGTGCTGGGCTGGTGTGGGGTGCCGCGGCGCGGTGCTGCTGTGCAGTGCTGCTCAGCCTCACCAGGGGGAGCGCAGGATGCTCCCCCCGGCCGCTCCGAGCTGGTGCCTGGCTTCTGGCCACTCAGAAATCACAGATAGAAAGCTGTAGTGATGTTTGACAGCTGTATATGCTGAGAACCTGCAATCCTCCTCCTTTTCATGGGTATTTACACTGTTAAATCTTACCCCCAGCTGTAGGGTCTGAACGTCGTGAATCCTGGTAACTCCATGCATACACGTTGCTGGTTTAGACTGCAGGTCAAGGGAGGGTGTTGGCAACTGGAATGGGAAAGATGCTTCTTGTGCTTGAAGATGGAGATCTGAAGCACGGGTGTTGCAGCAAGAAGTCGCAGTGTCTGCTCAGAAACAGGGTTTGTGTGTGTGTTGCCCAAAAAGGATGCTAAGGGTGCAAGGGTTTCAGAAAGGACGTCTCCAGTCTCAGTGGAGTGAGACCAGCTCTTGTTATGAAATCAGCTTGATTTTAGCTGAATGTTAGGAACAAAGAGACAATGTTTTGGGCTTTTAAATCTGTTCTACAGAAACCTCGCTATTGGAAACATTTTAGGCTGGGGTTTCTGTAGCGCTGCTGCTTCTGGCCCAGCCTTTGTGCACCTTTGAAATATATGGGGCAGATGAGAGAAGCTCAAAGCATTTAAAGCCTCTTCCCACGTGTGTTACCACGGGGGTTTCCCTGTGTGCAGAGCCTGCAGTGTCAATCGGGGAAGCAGGAGTTTGCCCATGGCTGCTTGGTGTGCAGCAGCATCCTGTGAAACGGGGCTGTATCGAGCATCTCTCTCCCGTGTGGCTGATGCTCCTCACATTCGCTTCCTTCCCCTCAGCTGTGGTGCCTGGGTCAGGTTGCTGCAGGCTATTTTGGTAATGTGTAGCCTGGTCATTGGTTCCTGCTCTCGAAATCAGAGAACGATCACAGAGCGGGTTGTGTATCTCGCATCTCTGGTGCTTGCACGTGGTCCCTGTTTCTGCTGCGTCCATACAAGTTTGCTGTGCCCATACAAGAAGAGGTTATAGGAAAATGAGTTGGTATAGTGGTGAGCACTACTGCCTTTAGACAAAAATCCCGAATTTCAATTTTTGGGTGGGAAGGAGAGAAACAGAACATCATTGCTGTTCTTTCTTAATGTTCTCTTTTTAACTGAAAGCCCAACATTTAAAAGATGTTTTCTTTTTCTCCCTCCCCTACCCCAAAATCATCTGGTATGGTTAAAAATGCGTTGTATCTGACTGCCCCGCTGTGCAGACAAAAGCAGGAGCCTGCCGAGGTGAGGGAATGGGGAAGCAAGGCCAGCAAGAAACAGGAAGCGAAACCGAGGAGCCTGCTTTTGTTTTTCTACACCGGCCTTAGGCAGGAAGGGGCCACAACCCCAGCAGCATCACAAGGCCCTCGCCGCACAGCAGCGCCCGCACTGCTTCTGGTTTATGATGGTGAATGCTGCAGGGCTGCTCAGGAAGCAGCTTTTGTTGTGGTGTGGATGTTGGCTGCGTGCTGGTGTGAGGAGGAGTCGGCAGCACCTGCGTGATGGGGACGGTTAAGGTGTTTGCTGAGGTTGGGACTCACTTGGAGCCTCGCAGGGTCTCTGTGCGCAAATATAAATGCAAGTGTAAATCCCCACCCAGAAGAGCTGACAGACCTGGCCTTTAACTGAAAAAGGAGAAATAATTTGTCCAAAGGAGGGACACCAGGCTCCTGGGGTCGTCCAGGACGCATCTTCCCCAAGATCAGGTATGACTTTGCCAGCCAAGGGGAGCTGTGGGGATGCCTGGCTGTGGTGCGCACCCAGAGCCCCAGAAGACTTGGGTCGAGGGAGGAGAACCACAGTGACCTGTGTTAAAACCACATCTCCGTATGTACCATCTGCTCCTCCTGGGACTCCTATGGACTACCCATACCCATCCTTTCCTTTTTCAGTCCTTAGCTCTGGTTTTCATGGCTGTGTGGATTTTCCCAGACTGGACGTGCTCAGCAGGAGCTGATGTTTTCAGTCAGTGATGGAGTCAGGGCTCTTGCTGTTGATATCAAAGCTGCTGCTCCGCTCTGTGGGCTCTGAAAAGTCCAATTCCCGTAGCATTTGAAAGACGTGGGGTTCCTGCATGCTTACTTTTTCAAGCCAGTCTTACAAATGGTGTGTGGAGGAAAGAGGTAAATAATAATTAAAACCAGACTCACCTGCTTGCCCTGCTTTCACTGCATTAGGCTCTCCAGCCTGGCAGGTCTTGGTGGGCTCATTAATTTGGATGGACTGTGCTGTCCAAACAGCCCAGCTCAGCAGATGGGGTTGATCCAGACCTGACCTTGTATGGTCACCAGTCAGCCCAGCTCTGCTGCCCGTCCTGCCCATTGCGCTGGCAGCAGCGAATGGAGCCAGCATCTGCGTGCGGAGACGGGGCGCGATGTTTATTGATATGGGAAAGCGAGTAAACCACCAAAAAATGTATGTAGGGCAAAGAGGTGGATCTGATTCACAGGATGGTGAATTCCCTTGGAGGGTCTGGGCTCCGTGTGGTTAAAGCTGGGGTGGTGATGCTGGGGTGTGATTTGAAACCCTGGGTTCAGGCCCCAAAGGACTGATGTGCCTCAGCTGTAACATTACACACCTATCCAGGAACGGTTTCGTGATCCTGTGTGGGCAGAGGCTCTCTGGGCAGCAAGAGGCAGACCTGACCACTTCCCCCGCCTCCCCGGGCCCCTGGGAACACAGGACAAGGCAGGGAAGGCTCAGAAACCTTGTATTACAAAAATAAAAGAGCGCATGGCGCAGTGTCACGCGTGAAGTTGCCGTGCCAGGCTCCAGCGCAGAACGTACCAATCGAAGGCAAATATAAAAAAGACAGACACTGTTAAACAGTCGCAGGGCAACATCCTTAAGGCTGAACGATCCCAGCTGAACTGAGCTGATGGAAACCAAAGACCCTCCTTATTCGGAGCCCCAGCAAGGCAGGATTGGTGTGGCGGGAGCTGGGAGCTTTGCTCTGACTTAAGGGCTGGGTTGAGCCCCCAGATCATCTCCTTTTCCATGGTGGCAGCCCTGAAATGTGTGAATAGGGCTGGGGTCCCGTGGGGGCAAGTGCTTCTGGTCTGATCTCATCAGGGAGAGGGGCCTGGGGAGAGAGGGCTTTGGGTCTGGGGGCTCTGCCCCGGTCACCTCTACCCTCACCCCTCCAAGCGTCCCAAAAAGAGGGCCGGGCTGCCCCCCTTCCCTTCCCACCCACGGACCCTGGGGTCCCCTTTGCTTTACATCAGCTCAGTCAGCCCCCAGCTCAGCACTGCTCCGTGCCGTCCGCTGGGCTGCAGGGGAGGCTGGGCTGGCCCCGCTCACGCCGACTTGGTCCCGCTCTCCACCTCCTTGTGCACCCACAGCTCCTTGTGCTGCTTGCGCCCGAAGCCCTCGTCATAGTTGCCTTTACTCTTGAAGAGTTGCTGGAAGTGGGGCTTGCAGTAGAATTCCCCATGGAGCGCCGCGTAGCTGCCCAGGCTGGGGAAGGAGGCAGGGTTAACTGGGCATGGGGCTGCAGGCTATGGGGAGCGTGTGGGGCTCAGGGACACCAGGGCAGGGGAGGGATGAGGAGAGAAGGTGCAGGAGGGGACCAACTACTTCCCCCAGCCAGCTTGCGGTGTTGGGGGCTGCTGTGAGGAGCCTTAAAGGTCTGTAAAGATGGGTGGGGGGTCCCACAGGGCAGCTCAGCCTTGGCTCTGTCAGCCAGGAGGGAGCTCTGGCTCAGCTCCACGTTACCTTGGGGCTGCTCTGGAGGGGAAACAACGCCTCTTCCACACCAGCTGGGATTTAGCTGAGACTTGGGACCAGATAAGCCTTTTACTTTATTTCTTTTTCCTGTGGTGAGTGGGCTGGGGGGGGTCTTTAGCTCCCACAAGAGAAGGGGTTGTGATGGGTGGGTGGGTGCATCCCCAGCAGCCCCTGGCCCCGCTCACCTCAGCTTGGTGTGGCAGTGCTTGCAGCAGAAGCAGGCGTTGTGGAAGACGAATTTATCGGCCACCAGCCGCTCCCTGGACGATTTTACCGCCCCCCAGCCGCTCCATGGGATAGACGGTTTTCTGGCAGGCGGTGCACATCTCCTTCACTTGCGCCTTCAGGCTGAAGGACTGGGTGAGGGGACACCGAAGGGAGAAAGGGTGAGGAAGGGGTTTGGGACATCCCCCAGCCCTATTTCCTAATATCTATGGAGCGTTGGTTGGCGTGAAGCAGCCCCATCTCCCCTCGCCCTCCCTGCACTGCTCCACTGATGGTCCTTCCCCCCCTGCCGTGCATCCCTAGGATGCAGTAAAGCCGCAGGTACCTTGGAGCGCTGCACCGTGCTGCCTCCTGAGCTGTTCTTTGCCTCCTGAGGAGGGAAGGAGAAGAGAAATGAAAATGAGAGCCTGGACTGACAAGCTTGGCGCTGAGTTGTGCTTAGGGAGGAGCAGCAGAGGATTTGTACAGGCAGCTGAGCTGCACGACCTTGGGGGCCACCAGCAGCTTCTGCCTGGCTGCCTCGGGCATAGGGTGACCACCTCTGGACTCGCTTGCCCAGAGGCCATGACCTCCATCGGGCTGTGGGAGAAACTTGCTGCACTGTGGTGCTTTTCCCAAAGAGAGGAAAATAGAAAAAGAGGAAAAGCTATTTAAATGTTGCAGAGAAGGAACTTGGTAGCAGGAGGCTGCAGGACTTGCCTGGGGCTGTGAGGGTAGCGCAGGGAGCTCTCATCCAGCACCGCGCTCTGAGGCCTCTGTCTTGGACACAGGATCACGTCATGGCTTTGCTTTTTCCACGGCCAAGGCATAGCAGACCTCTTTTGTGGAGGCAGCCCCAAAGCAGAGAGCCAGGAGATGTCACAGCCTAGGCATCACACAGGGTGACATCCCTCCCTTGCTCCCAGCAACCGCTGAGGAGCAGCTCTCACCATCCACAGGCATCAGTGTCTGTCTTTGGCTACCCCATGCACATCTCAGACCACACAGGGCTGGTGTTACCCCTCAGGAATAACAGCAGCAAAGCAGAGGAGCCCTGCTGCCCCATCCCCAGGGGGTGCTTTGGGCCTGGGATGGGTGGAGAGGGGGAAAGGACCCCCAGGAGATAACTGGGAGCCCCATGTTGAGCCGGTTCCCTCTCAGCAGATGTTTTGTATCTGAGTTCCCCTGCCAGCCCCCTTCGCAGCCTGTCACGAAACGCCTGCGCCGTAGGCGAGAGCAAAGAGCCTTGAGTCCCTGCAGGCTCTGTGCATGGAGGGCAGGAGGGTCCGAATTGAAGACATGCTCTGCTGCATTGTGCAGCTTGACAGATGCTACTTGGATCCTGTAGAGAGGGACAAGTGGCCAGAGAGATCCAAATTCTGGGGTGCCCCAGGATTTAGGAGCGGGGTCTCTGCAAGCTCTCCCATCTGCAGCTGCAACAACTCATCCTCCCCTGCTCACAAAATCACAGAACGTTAGGGACTGGAAGGGACCTCCAAAGCTCATCCAGTCCAATCCCCCTGCCGGAGCAGGAACACCCAGATGAGGTTACACAGGAAGGCGTCCAGGCGGGTTTTGAATGTCTGCAGAGAAGGAGACTCCACAACCTCTCTGGGCAGCCTGGGCCAGTGCTCTGTCACCCTCACTGAGAAGAAGTTTCTTCTCCAATTGAAGTGGAACCTCCTGTGTTCCAGTTTGTGTCCGTTACCCCTTGTCCTATCATTGTTTGTCACCGAGAAGAGCCTGGCTCCATCCTCGTGACACTCACCCTTTATAAATTTATAAACATTAATGCTCCTGCTCCTCGCTTACCGCAGTGTGAAGCCCCCCCATCCTGTGCCCTCCCCAAGCTGCCCATCTGCACAGGCACCCACTGGGTCCCAGTCAGCCACCTACAAGTGGTTTTGCTTCCCTCTGCAGTGATGAAAATGCTCCCTTCTTTCCAACAGCCAGGATCAAAGGGTTAAATGCACTTTAAGCAAGTGTGGAGCAGCCATGGCTCACCCTCTGTGCTGTTTGTTCCCAAAACTGGGGTGCTGTGACCCCAAGACATCACCCCACTGCCTCCTCATCCTCCCTGGTGCTACTCGTTCAGCTCTGCATGGCCAGCCCTGCCCCATCCCTCTGCCCCCAGGGCTGCTCTCCCATCCCCACTCCTCCTGCCTTGTCCTTCCCCATCATTTCTCCTCCGTATTTTTGGAAACGGTTTGTCCAAGAGACGCACAGGAAACTCTCACTTCGCTGAGCTGCCTCTTCAGACGTTTCCCAGCTGCTCTCGCTGGCTGAGGTCAGGGACGTGATTTTTCCTCTCACTCCCACAAGGCTGGAGGAGTCAGCCAAAGTCAACAGAGGGACACGGGCAGCGAGGAGGCTCAGGCCGTGTAAAACCAGTTGCATCCCTCGGCGCTGGTAAAGCAACCGCAGGTGCTCTCCTGGGGTTAGGATTTAATAGACAGCTTCCAGGCTCGGCTGACCAGAGCTGAGGAAAATGCTGCCTCTTTGGAGCTGGGACACATCCGTTCCCAAGGCTACAGGCAACGCACCGCTGCTCGTCACTTCTCGGCAGCCTTCTGGCTCCGATCAGGCACGCTATCTATTTCATATCTGCTATATCCTCCCTCGGGGAAGGGCCGTATCCTGTCCCAGCAGGAGATGTTCTTGAGCCTTTATGTTTTTCCATCTCCAATCACTCCGCTCCTAAGCGGCTCGCATGCTCTCAATTGTGAGTGCAGAAAGCCATGGAAACACAAACAAACAGACGGCAACTGGAGACGGGAGCAGGGCACGGACCAGAGCCTGGACGCTGGCCTTGCAATGCGCTCAGCAAACAGCACCTTCTGCTGGAGCAGTCCTGCCCCCGTTTTGTTGTTCGAGGAGCAGCGACTGTGCCTTTGATCACCCTAAAATGTCAGGTCTGGGATGCAGCTGCTGTACACAACCACCCATCCATCCCTGAGAACCAACACCCGCTTTGAAAGAATCATACGAACCACAGAGGGATGCTACCTACATGAGTTGGGGGTGGGCTGGCGGGTCCCGTGGCCTGGAACATGGCTCCTTCCCCTCCTCCGTCCGTTTAATCCTGAGCGTGGAGTTCGTGGGCCGACGTTCCCTGGGAAGGTGTCCAAGACAGACCTCTTGCAACACCTGGAAAGGAAATGTCAACAGGAGCGTGGCCGGTTTCATCAGCCCAAACCCGGCAGCTGCGCAGCTCTGCGGGAGCTGGAGCGTGGCACCGGCGTGCTCAGAGCTTCCTCCGTCGGCTCCGCGTAGCCTCTTTGCTCTGGGGGTTTCTTGAGGGATCCAAAGGTTTTAGGCACACCAGGCTGGGCTGGTGGACAGGAGATGTGGGTCTGGAATACTGTGCGGTTTTGGGAAGCTGGTGGGTGATCTGGGGTGCTGATGCTCAGGAGCTCCAGTCCCATACAAAGAGACTGGGCTAGGATGGGAGAGGGCTGCTGGAAACAGGAGCAGAAGGTGATGTGATGGCTTCTGCTCCAAACCCACCTGTGGAAGGCAATTGCCAGCAAGGCTATGGCTCCCAGTCATGTCTGGGAACCCAGCACCCTGTGTTTCACCACTGTAGCCACTAAAGGACTGCTGTTACTGGAGCAAGGACTGTGGTTTTAGTCTAATTTTAGCCCAGAAAAGCCTTGCTGAACAGAGCTGATCACAGCTCAGCAGAGCGAGTGATGGGGATTTTGTCTTCTCTGGGGAGCACACTTTGCCTTTAGGCTGGGACCAGTAAGCTGTGGCCTCTGTGATGTGCTGAGTGCCCGGGGGGATGAGTTTGACAGGTCTCGGATCAGCTTTAATGCAGCAGGAAAAAAAAACCAAAACAGCATTGCAAGCCACCCCTTTTGGTTAAAAATCAGCTGAAAAAGCACTGACAGATCCTCTGGGGTTTTTCCCCATTGCACCTTATCTTCAAGACACCCATAAAAGGTCAGGTTTGATCAGCCCTGCTTTGCGTACACAAGACAGAGGCGTGGGGTTGAGCAGAGGATGTGGAGGGAGGAGCAGAGCGGGGAACAGGAGGGCGAAGGGGGTGTCTGTGCGGCTCTAGGGTGTGCTGGGGGCTGGCAAACCCGTCTGAGGCTTCTCCCCCCCTTCTCCTGAGCCCTCTTGTTCTCATAACATCACCCCAAACCCTTTCCTGCTGCCTGTGGGTTCAGGTAGACCCTGAGAAAGCCCCAGGGCAGGAGATGTGCTGAGTTGGAGGCCTTGGGGCAGGGGGTGTCTGTGCAACATCGATCTCATGGTGACATTCACAAACACGCCCTGGGTTTTAGGGGCTCTTTGGCTGCCTAAACAGTTCCAACACCCAGGAGCTGGGCCCAGCAAAGCTCCCCAGATCAGTGGCTGCTTTCAGAGCTGAGAGACTTTTGCCCCGAGTCCTGAGCTGCGCTCCCCTTCGCAGGCCCTCGTCGCAAGCGTTTCAAGGCCTTGTCAGAGAATACAGCCTCTTTTTACCTAAATCATTTCCCGTCTCCTCTGTGGTTTTGCTTGTTATTTCCTGCTCCGGAGCGGGCGGATGGCAGCACGCAGGCGGCTGCTGCCGTACCCAGTGTGGGCCACGGTCCGGGGCAGAGCCGGCCGAGGAGCAGCCCTGGAGGCAGGGCCTCACAGCCCCTCTCTGCCCCCCATTCCATGGGACAGGCCCTTCCCTCTCACATCTGTGGGGTCTGTGCGGTGCCTAAAGCCCAGTGCAGGCCCCAAGGGGCACCCTCTGCTCCCACGCCTCTGATGCGGATGCACAACACAGCCCTCCCCCTTGTCACCTGCCTTTCACCTTCTCCCGTCTTTGCCACAAACATCTCTCCCCCCCAGCTTTCCTTTCTCTTCCCTCACAGCTCATCCTCCCTACCCCAGCCACCTTCTCTCTCTCTTGGTTCCCCCAATCTCTCCATCATCCCTCTCCTGCCCTTCCCCACACACACACCTGGCTCCTTCCACCTCCTATTTCTTCCTTTGCTTCTCTTGCCCCCAGACCCTGTTCCCTTCAATGCCACTCCACTTATCCTTCCCCATGGCCTGATGTTCTCCATCCAGCCCCATCCACCAGGTCCCCTTTCTTTGCCCCTTCATGCACATACCCCACTCACCGCCTCGTGCCCATGCTCTCTCAGCTTTGGTTTCAAACGAGAGGTCCCCTCGGTGTAGGCACGTGAGAAGAAGTTGCTAAACGTCCTTCCTGCCAAAGGACAGGAGGCCAGAGTAGAAATCTCAAAGGGGAAGGGTGTGCTGAAGCGATAAGGGAAACAGAACAGGCTAGAAACCGCAGGAGGGTTTCTAGGAGGCTCTCAGCTGCTGTCATCGCTCTTCCAAGGAGGCATTAAGTCTGCACGGGATGGGATTTGAGCCCAAGGCAGTCAGCACAAGCCTCCATGAGCAGAGGAACCCCGATGGCACAGGCTTTGCTTAGGGACATGCTGCCACATTGCTGTTATGAAGCCTTCGCAATGACTGGGACAGCCCCCCCAGCGCTTTGGGGGGGGCCTCACTGATCTGAGGAGTGCAGAGGGCACCTGGGATGAAGCGAGAAAGCCAAGTCCAAGGGGCCATGGTGGAGGCTGGCACTGTAACTGCCAGGTCTAACTTCTCCAACCCTCTGTTCCCCAAGGGACTCTGCCATCTACACAGCCCAGGAACAGCAGTGCTGAGGCTTGACCCTCTCCTAGTCCTGCAGCCAGCGTTTTCAGGCATCTGGCTCAGCACGTGGTGAGAACCCCTTTGCCTCTAAAGCCTCCGTTCTTCCTGCCCCTCCTGGGAGCATCTGATGTGGACAAAAAAAACCCTTTCTCCAAGGGATCCGGGCTTGTGCTGTCTACCTGAGGAGATGGAGCAGCTTTTGATGGCAGCGCTGCTGGCCACAGCGGGGCAGACACAGAGGGAGGTGAATCTCGGGCCTGCTTTGGGGACTGTTTTGGTGATCTCAGCAAGTTGGCGTTGTACTCAGGACCTTGAGCCTGAGGCGTGTTTGGCATCCTCAGGGGAAGTGCAAGAGCAGCTTGAAAGATGCTGCAGCCAGGTCTTTTAGCACCAAATGGGGAGCAGTTTGGGGTGAGGAGGGCAGCGCTCATCCCAGAACCTGCTTGGTCACAGAGCTTTTTCCTACAGCCTCTCTCATCCCCTCTCACCATCCTGTCTGGACCCAGGGCCAGATGTAAGGAGAGGGAAGCATCTGGGGTGGCCCCACAAGGAAATTCCCCAATACTCGTGACTTGCCTCCAAACCATCGGATTTCCCATAGCCAGGATGGGTGCGGGGAGCCTTTCCCCCTTCCCTGGCTCTGGCTAATGGCCTCTCCAAAAGCCGATGGGTTTCCGGCACAGGAAAGCAGCGTGACTGCGGAGGGCGAGAGGCCCCTCTCTGCCATCTGGTTCCCATTAGCAGCCCTGTGAAGTGTATGTTTACCACTGGGATCACTGCACCATCGCAAGAGGCTTTCCCAAAGGCAAAGTGCGGAGTGGGGGATCCGGGCCCCTTCCTCCTCCATCCTGGGAGGACGTGGAGTATCCCCAGCAGCACGGCGAGGTGTGGGCATGGGCTCAACACCTTGGAGAGGCTGTCAAGCCTCTCCCCCAGGAAATCATGGGCTACTCTGATTGCTGTGGGATGCAGGGCACTGATGTCCCCTGCATCAAGCGCAGGATTAGTGCTGACCCTCCAGCTCCATGGCCAGCGCAGCCCATGGTCTCTCTCAGGATTGCTTGGGGAGAAGGTGGAGAGGAGCTGGAAGGGCCTGGCCTGAGCCTGGAGGTCACCACTGGCCACTGTTTCTACAGCTTGTGGCAAATCCACACCATGAAACAAAGCGTGGGGCAGAGGCAGCATCAAATGGGCCAGTGCCAGAACCAGGGAATGGAGCACAGCGGCCCCAGGGCTGCTTCACCTTCTCAAGCGTGCAAAGAAACAGTGAGCTGCAGTCTGGGGGGGATGGTGGAGAGAGCCAAGGGGTCATGGCTGGAGTTTTAGATCATGGAAGACCTCAATTCAACTTCAGATCTTGGCTCCTTGTGTGGCTTTGAGCCAACCACTTGACCTCACTGGTATTTGGGACCCGTGGCAGGTCCCTGCTGGCTTGACACAGAATGGAGAAGCAGCCAGGTCACTTCTGCAGACACCAGCACCCTGCTCATCACGTTTCTGGAGAGCAGCCCCACCACACGGACCTGTCCCAGCCTGCACCCCACAGCACGGAGCTACCTTCCACCAGCCCGCCCCACTAATCCGCTTTTCATCCACGTCCTACGCCCGGGCTGCCTCTTGAAAGGCTGCCAGTGGGCAGGAAATCTGCAGCCGAAATGCTGAGGGATGCTGACAAGGAACAGTTGTGGGGAGGAACAGGGCTGCCTTTGTCAGGGCGACAATGGAGGACCCATACGAGCGAGGAGGGAGCCCGAGGGAAGCCCCTGCCCACCCGCTCTGCTCTCCTACCTCCAACCCTGCCTCCGATTGCCTCCTCCTTGGAGGTGCCTGGCCCTGGAAGGACCAGGGATGAGGGGGACCGGTCTGGTGGGCAGGAGAATGCAGATGGGCAGGAGGATGCTGCTGGGATTTGTGTTTTCCAGAAGTGGAGAGTGAAGAACGGAGCAGCCTGGGATGGTGGCCACGCATTGAGAATCGTGGTCTGAAGGGAGTCTCTGCTCCCTGGGATCTCCTACCTTGCTAGGAGCTCAGATACAGCAAATGCAGTAGGAAGCCTGCTTGGAGGGTGAGCAGAGCTTTTCCAGGCAGAGACAAATCCTCCTCAGTGGTGCCAGGTGACAGAGCAAGTGACAGTGGCCAAAAATTGCAGGTTGGACATTAGACAAAACTGAGATAAAGACTTAGAGGCTCTGCAGCATGGTACTGATTAAATGCAATATGAACCTGGTGCAAACAAGCACGATCACGACAGGCAAAGAGCAGTTCATGCGCTCACCCTCCCCTTTTCAGTTCGTCCGTAGCCTCTTCCATAAACCATGCTCCACCTGGAAACCTCACCTTCTCGTTTCCTCCATAAATGTACATCCATTTGCCATTATTGTAGTCCTAGTTCTTCTCCCA